TCCTCCTGGTGCTACCACCTCCTCCCGCCAGGACTGGGCCACTACAGCCTTGCTGTGGTGGGACGCGGTGATGGGACCCCCTGCGCCACCAGGGTCCCGGGCAGGGCCCTTGTATTTTTCCAGCAGCTCCGCCACCTTTGCCGAGGCACTGGAACGAACAGCCTCTCCACCGGGACCCAGAGTTTCACTGACTGTCTGCTCTTTGTGTAGCAGCTGCACTTTTTCTGTGGTGGCTGCTGTGGTGCCCCCGGCACCCTCGGCTTGTGAGGCAAAGATGAGAGAAGAGCGCAGCCTGGAGCTGCGCTGAATGAGCGGGTTCAAGCGAGAGCGGAAGGAGTCCTGCTTAGCCAGGCTGGTCTCCTCTGTGCCCTCGCGCTCTGAGCTGTCGCCACCGCCGCTTCCTGAGCCTGGTTTTGGCCCCTTGGCTGGGAAGGGTGCAGGAGTGCGGAAGGCGGAGGGGAGCAGGTCCCGGCCCCCAGGAGTCAGCACCTCATCATCATAGGCCTCAGCCTCCATCGGCAGACCCTCCTCCCCACCATCACCGTGGCAGCCGCTCAGGTAGGAGGCCAGGCGCCAGTGACGGAGTCCGGCCCGTCCCTCGGGCCCACCCCTCCGCTCAGGCTCCGCCTCCGTAGTGGTGTCCAGGCCTTGCCTCAGAGATGCTTGGCATGGAAAACGCTGGCCCAGGTTGGGACGCAAGGCCCCATTAGGCTCCGCACCACGAGGGCCAGTTCCAAAGGCAGGATCCGAGCCGTGACGTACCTCTCGGGATGCGCTGGATGGCACATATTCCAGCCGCTGGTGCACCTCTCCACCGAGTTCTGGGAAGCGGGGCCCAGCACCTAGTGCTAAGTCATCTGGTTCCGCAAAGCCAGGTCGGCCTGCACGAAGCTTCTCGAAGAGGCCCTGTGGTCGCGTGGGTGCAAACTGTGGATCCCACTGGTAATGCTGCTGCTGGTAGAGCTGGTCACGTTGGAAGTGGCTGGTCTGGAAGCGGAAGTCATCCCCATGGCTGAGGAATGTTTGTCGCGACACCTGCCGTGCAGCTGCAAAGTTCTCCACTGCTCCTGCCCCGTCGGCTGCTGTGTAGCTGTGCCGCTTGAAGGCGTCCATCTCCAGGTGCCGTGCTTGGAAGAAGCCCCGGGGGCCTGCGAGCTCTCCCATGGGCCCAGCCTCAGCTGGACGCGCCAGTGACCGGAGCCCTGCGTGGGGCTCCAATGCACCCCCAGGCATGCGCTGCAGCTCCTCACGGCGGAAGGCAGATAGGAAGTGGCGGTCGGGGTCTAGAAAAGAGGGGAAGCCCAGGCCTTCTTCCCGGGGCGGTGGGAACAGGAGGTGTGCCCGTTTAGGGAAAGAAAAGGGTGTTGGTGCTCCAACCCCGGGAACGCCCACCAGGGGCCCAGCCCCAGAGTATGGAGCAAGTGCATAGGCATCCATGCGGGCTAGCATCCCAGCTGAGGGCACCAGCGGCTCCGACTGTGCAAACAAGATGCGGAACTCCTCATCGAAGCTGGAGACCAGCTCTCCCTGGAACACATGAGCCAGACTGCGGTGGATTTTCTCGAAGGACCACATGAAGCTGTGGGCGGGATGGTGGAAGTCAGGGAACGGAAGCTGATCAGGGAACTGGGGTCTATAAGGAGTTGGGCTGGTGGGCTGTCTCAAGGAGGGCTTCATGGGAAGGAATGGGACCACAAAGGATGACTCTGTGGGGAGGGGCCAGGGCTGAGGGAAGCCCCCTGGACGTACCTGTAACTCCCGCTCATCACCACGGCACAGTCCACCAGCAAGAACTTCTCCTTCAGATGGCCCTTGAAGGACTTCCCAGTGCGGCAGTAGTAGGTGGGCCCTGCCACCGTGCGCACACGCAGAAACTGGAAGAAAGGGGAGTCAGGTCTTTACCAAAGGCATTTTCCCTCTGCTCCCGGCTCCGTCGCTCCGTCACTCACATCCACGTGGTGCAGGTTGACACGACACTTGTCGGCCATGTCCAGGAAGTGCTGGGCATTCATTTCGTCCAGCAGAATGTAGACCGGGACCCGCCTTGCAGCAGCCTCGAGCACCTCGCTGAGCAGATCCACGTCGGTGAACATGTCCATCACCACAGCTACCACCTGGGAGGCAGGTGGACAGCGAGCGGGTCAGCAAGCGGGAGTCACACGTTCACCCACAAGCACTGTGAAACGACCCTTAGCCCCCCTCAGGAGAGCGGCCACGGGGGGGGGCAGTGAAAGGGACCCAGCAGAGGGACACAAAGCAGGACACCTGACACCGGGAAGTTCATGTGGGGGGTGGGGAGTAGCTGCAACCTGACTGTGTGTGGTCACATCCCAGGCTGTTGGGGCAGGCTTGATAAGGAACAGGGCCATTGTTACAACCTGGAGCAGGGGCAGAAGCAATCTTCCCGGGGTTTGTGGGAGTGTTTTGTTTTTGAATACAGTATGGAGTGTTACTACGTAGTCCAGGCTGGCCTCAACCTCCCTGAATGCTAGGATTATATGCACGAGCCAGTCTTCCTGGCTTAACAGCCTTTTTTTTTCTGTTTGTCAACTGCTTTGACAGTGGGTTGCTCTCAGGGGGACAAGGTCTGGAGAGACCAATGTGCCAACAGCCTCAAGTTTCTGGGTACTGGCCATGATCCTAGGCCAGCAAATGCATAGAGGCTACTAACCAAGGCCCAGGTGACAATGGACAGACGTCACAAAGTGACCCTCCCGCTGAGGTCTGGATGACCAGCACTGGCATCCCCAGCACCAGGAATGCTTTTATTCTTCCCACGCCCTCCTATCCATGCTTCAAAACCCAGCCCAGGCTGCCCTTCACCATCCGTCAAGTCCAGCTACTGCACCTGCTGGGCAGAACGGATCATCCTCCGAGCTTCATCTTTGATGCTGGGGCTGTCAGGTGGCGGTGGCTGTACCAGTGTGGTGACCTCTGTGCCTTGGAAGCCAAAGGTCAGGGGCCAGCCCAGATCCAGCTCAGGCACAGCCTGGTCTGAGTTCACTGGCCAGTAGGTGCCTGAGGAACCATCCATGTCCACATCAGGAGGACTGCCTTCAGGCGGCTCCCGGGCCACATACTGTAGGGGCTGCAGGTGGCGGCTCACATGCTCCAGCTCCTCAGGGCACAGGAAGTCAGGTGCCCCCTCAGAAGCCAGGAAGCGGTTGTAGGCTTCTGGCCCGCCCTCAGTCAGTGCATCCACTGCCAGCCGGTAGTACTCTTTGTAGTGAGGCGGCAGGTACCCGGGTGCCAATGGGTTGTCCCCCTGCGAGCTGCTCTGGGAGCGACGGGCCATGTTGGGGCCAGGGGCCTGGAAGGGCAGGAAGATGCATTAACTAGGGGCAGTAGGACCTCACAAGTAGACACACATAGTTGACAGAGACGCTAGATCTTGGGCTTAGCTTATGCTGGGAGGCCTTCCAGGACCCAACTAAGACAGGCTCAGAAACAGCTCTAGAGGCCATAGCAGGGCCCTGGGGGCAGACATGGGCCACTGATACTCAGCCCTACATCCCCTTCCTGGGGCTGAGACCTTGTTCTCGTCAGGGTCTCGGGGACTGCCAATGTTTGCCCCCATTCCAGACAGGTGAGAGACTTATATCCCATTTGCTTTGTGGATCTCTTTTCCTATAATAATAAGTTGTTGACTAAGACACAAATGCAGTCCAGCAATGAGATTACTCCCTCCAACACCAAGAGATTAGTCTTGTTGGCCCCTGTTGTTACTGCCTGAAGACCCTGGGCAGCGCTCTGGCCTGGTACCTTCACTGTACATAGCTAGCAGGGTGGAGAGACACTGTACCTGGCCAAGGTGAGCTCAGTAGAGCCGAGACTGACTCATCCATGGCTGAAGGCCGTAAGCCCCACCCACACTGCTTCCCTGGGTCCACCCCTGTGTCTTCCTACAACCCCCTTACTGATCTCCCTGCCCCAGCTCCTGAACGTTCAACCTCTCGGAAAGCCTCCCCCTCCCCCTTCGCCTCTGTCCCATCTCAGCTAAGACCTCTCTGGGCCCCAGTCCCTTGGGGTCAGCCACTTCCTTGTAGGGTGTCTACACCCTCCCAGACCCGCGCATCCTAATGGCAACAGACATTCCCAAGACCCTGGCTCACCACCCTCTGCCCCATATGCTGAGAACAAGGCAAACCTTTGAGCTCCCACAGAAAATGGGAGCCCCAGTACGACTGTTCTTGTTCTTCAGTGGCTGGGAGTGGGGGTGGGTAGCAGAGGCTTGTGCTTGAGGAAGGCATTAGAAATAACAACCAAAGCCGGGCGGTGGTGGCGCACGCCATTAATCCCAGCACTCGGGAGGCAGAGGCAGGCGGATCTCTGTGAGTTTGAGGCCAGCCTGGTCTACAAGAGCTAGTTCCAGGATAGCCTCCAAAAGCCTTGGAGAAACCCTGCCTCAAAAATCAAAAAAAAAAAAAAGAAATAACAACCAAACATCTAGAAACCTGCACCTCCGGCCCTGGAAGTTGCCTAAGGGCAGCCTAACCCCATTCCCCACTGCTGCTCGGGTTGGGAATGGCTTGGGACTCTTGCCCTGCCTAGCACACAGGTTCCTGGATGTTAGTCGGGACTAGGAAAAGTAATTCTGCCCAGGGAGTGGAGTGTCAGTGATGCTGCTGTTATGAGGGGACACTTGTCTGGCAACATTGGGGGTCAGGCCTGTGCTGTGTGTGACCCAGGGAGCTACAGAGTCTGTCATCCCTAGGGGCATGGTGCAACACATTAACAGGTCCAAATGTGACAGAGCTTGGAGGTAGGGACACTCCTATGTCTACTTATCCTAAGAAGAGTGCTCTAAATTCCCTTTGGGGCACTGCCCTGACTGTAGGCTGTTGGTTTTCCTTCCTGTCTGCAGAGTAAGGTGTGGCACACTGTTCTGGGGAGGTCAAGGCAGACCACCTGTAGTAAGAATGCTGGCTTGTCTGCCTGGACAGGCCCCAAGCCGTCTTAGACAGCATGCTCAAACCTGGAGCGTAGTCACTGAGGGGGGAATTCCTGATACAAGGAAGACTGAGAATCGAAAGCGTCCAGCCTGTGGACTTCTGGTGAGGAGCCATCAAAGGCACTATTGTTTGGGAAGGGGCCTTGGTCCCGAATGCCCACTGAGGGACGTAGACTCACAAGGCAGTCACCTCAAATGCCCTTATGCTCTTTCGACGACACACATCCCTCTTGACTATGTACCAGCAATGAACCCCAAGAGCCTGCTTTAGGACATCTGCTTATTCAAGTGGGGCCCTGCTGAAGGAAGGATATCCCACCCAAAGCAATGACTCAGCATGAATCATCTGTTGTTGACCTCTGACCTGAAGCCACTCTCCAGGCCCTTCACCATTAACAGCACTAGAAAATGACCCCTCCCCTCCTACCTGACAGGAGGGAGTGTTCCCACATCTGGAAGGGGATCCCATGGGGAAGACGGTGACAGTGGCCAAGTAGGGGTGAGTGGCAGGGGACGTGAGTGGATGGGAATCGGAGGGATGGGGCTCAAAGACCGGAAGTCGATGAGTTACAGATTGCAGGTTAGGCACTGCAAGGCCCAAGGGTGTTACTGTACCCCAGGAAGTTAGCCGCTACCCAGCCAGGCGTCTTTATCTGCCCATCCAGCCCAAGGATGAGGGATCAGGAGTTAGGAGACCCCAGTTTTCCCTGTCCTCCACACAGGGATCCTGCCCCGGACACCCCGGCTCATGGCGGCTTGGGGAGAGGCTCTGGGAAAGGTACGGTCATGCCCAGCCAACATGTAGGCCGCGAGGATGAGAGTGTGTCGCACCCTTTCCCCTACCTCCTCCTGGCCAGCATGCACCTCGGAACCCCCTTACCCAGTACTCCGGGGAGCAGTCACCCTGTCCCCGACCCAGCCCCACGCACGCGCTCTCTGCACCGCCCGGCCCGGGTCCCGAGACCAGACCCAGGTACCGTGGCGCGGAGGCTCCGGCCTCCGGTCCTGCGCGCTGCGCCGTGCCCAGCCCGCGCCGGGGAAGGGACCCTACCTGGCCAGGTGAGCGGGTTCTCGCACAGGGGCAGCAGGAGCCCACCGCCGCCCAGCGGCCTCACGGTCTGGTCCGTCCTGCAGCCACTCCCCGCCGCGGCCCGCCCGCCCGTTCGGCCTGATTCACGCGCCCGCCCCCGCCCCGCCCGCGCTCTGCCTCCTGCCTGCCCGGGCAGCACCTGGGCGGGGCGGCCCCACCCCGACGCGCCCGCATTCCTGCGCCCTCCGCAGCCCGGACCCCGGCCGCGACCCCCGGTCCCATCCTGGCCTCGCTGGCGCCCCCAGCCCACATCCCCATCCCCTACCCCCAAGCGCTCCGGTGGCGCTCCAGAACTGCGCCCCAGATTCTGGCCAGCGCCACCCCCTTGTGCCAGAGTCTCCTCTTTTCAGGACCCCGAAGCCCCTTGAACTCATTTGCGAACGGATAGCTCGAAGCCCCTACTGCCGACCCCTGACCCTCGCCCCGGAAGTTGGGATGACTCGGAAGTTCCGGCTTAGTCGCTAGGAAACTGGCCAGCTCGACGTGAGGGGCGGAGCTTCTGGCCTCTGTGCGTTGCAAGTGGCAGGTGAGGCAGGTAAGGCTGCAGACGGGGACCCCGCCTTACAGCCCGCAGACACACCTCTGCTTTCCCCACCACACCCCTCGCAGACCCATCCTCTCACATGAAACCGACGGCATAGGAGCTCCACGGGCTTTCCCACCCAGATGCCGACAACATAAGGGATCCTGCGCACACAGCCCTGTACCCATGGGTTGTGACTTCGGATGACCCATAAGCAGAAACCCCACCGCCACACAGAATCCGCACCCACTGATGGTGTCTTCATCACAAACCGAAGGCACAGGGGTCCCATCTTCACGCACGTACATTAAAGAGTCTGCATCTCGGATGCTGCAATTACTGGACCTCTATAGACAGGGAACCTCGTGCACGTATCAAGCCCCAGACAACATCCATACACCTAAACACTTAGCTCCTCCTAGGTCCCTGGTCTGCCCAGTTTTCCCTCTAACCCATTTCCCTACTTAGGCCCTGCCGTGAACTCAGTCCTGTGTCCAAGCCAACTCCCACCTACCAGGTTCTCAGTGTCTGCCACCTGCCCGAACACTTTCTGTAAGACAGCCTTCAGTCATTCTCTGGTCCTATTTTCAGGATAACACTTCATCAACTCCATTCCCAGATGCTCCTGTGGCACCAGCAGGGTGGGAACACAGGTGTATGGGGTCAGCGATTGCACTACCTGGATTTCCTATTCAGTGTGCCATCTGAGGGGTTCTAAGGCACTGGAAGACCCTAACACAGGCTGAAGTGGAAAGAAAACTCTTCCTAGGGGAATGAATGGGGGCCAGCAGAGTTTTGGAGGAGAGGGGGTTTGATGGTAGGGAGGGATTGGGCTCAGCAGGCCAGGGTTGAGGGCAGTTGAAGGCATTCGTACACAGCCCGGTGATTTAGAAACTGGTGCCGGAATACAGATCTGTGGACTCCAGCAGCATGGGCTGGGCCATGGCGGTAGAGGGCAGGCACACAAGCATACAGGGAGAGACATCTTGCCAGACATCCTTGACCGCGCTACTGGGCACACACTCAGATAACCAGGGCCAGGCACTGGCTGGGAAGTGTGCTGGAGTTCCAGGGCCAGGGCGGTATGTCCACTGCCTTGTCCCCTGCCCTCCTGAACATACCCTCCCTGGACTTTTCCTTCCCACCCCCAGGAGAATGAGCAGTAAGAAGGGGGGGCCCAAAGCTGCACCAGGGAAGAGGCAGGCGCCCCTCCCTGGGTCCAAGCTTCGAGCTGCTGCTGGTGAGTGCATCCTCTGACCTCCAGGGCACTGCCCCCACGTTGACCTTGAGACCACTAAGTACATAGGGCTCCTCTGAGAAACCCTCCCCTCCAAGTCGTCTTCAAAGGCTCTTTTGGTGCTTGGGCATGGATTTGATGGTTTAAGCTCAAACATCCACTGTAGCCTGGACCTCTAGAGCTGGGGTGGGCACTGGACTCAGAAAGACACACTGTTAGAGCCCCTAGAGGTAGCAAAGGGGTCAGGGGAAGATCGGAGGGGCAGATGGCTAAAAGCAGTGTTGAAGCTGTGTGGTGGTGTCACACGCCTTTCCTCCCAGCACATGGGCAGCAGAGGCAGGGGGATCTCTGTGAGTTCGAGGCCAGCCTTGTTTGTAGAGTGAGTTCCAGGGCAGCCAGGGTAACACAGAGAAACTCTGTCTTGAAAACAACAACAACAACAAAAGCAATATTGAAAAAGAGGAGGGGCCGGGCGTTGGTGGCGCACGCCTTTAATCCCAGCACTTGGGAGGCAGAGGCAGGAGGATAACTGTGAGTTCGAGGCCAGGCTGGACCGACAGCCTCCAAAACAATACAGAGAAACCCTGTCTTGTAAAAACCAAAAAAAAAAAAGAAAGAAAAAAAAAAGAAAAAGAGGAGGACTTGAACCCAAGTTGGGAATCTTCCTAAGTGGTCATCCACTCATTGTTCCACAGTCCCCTCACCCTTCCCTTCCTATCATCTCTCCGCCGCACTTCCAGGCTGAAAGGTTGGGCTGGCTTCTGTGGAACATCACAAAACGGACTCTCCTGTCCTTGTGCCTGCCCTCCTAAAGCCCTTACCACCCCTTTGCTCACGCAACGTTCATTCTGCCACAGCTGTGAACATCTTCCAGCCTGTCTCTCGGGCTCTGCACCCAAACCTACTTCAAGAGGCACCCAGACCTAGATGAAGCCCTACATCTGAGACCAGGCAGTACCAGATTCCCTGGAGCTGGCGGGTGATGGTGACTCCACACCACGCTGGGGTGAAGTCCCAGTTGCCCAAATTAGCCCCAGCTGCGTCTGAGGCCAGTCTTCCTCCTGGAATGAGGATAATGGGTACCAGCACTGCGTGCTGCCTCTGTGATCTCAAGCCTTGAGCACCAAGCTGCAGTAAATAGTGGGCAGGGCAGGTGCACTGGACAAGAAGCCGTCCGGGGTTCTTGGGGAGGGGACTGTCAGTTTTGTTGTCTGTCAACTGTGCACTCAGCTCTCACCCCGCACCTTACTATCCGTGCTGCCCTGGACAGCTCCTGTGGCTACTCGTCCTGGTCTCCTGACACCGCCATCCCCAAACAAGCTCCCTCCCTCCCTTCCTCCTTCAGTGACCGCCAAGCCCTGTGTGATCCGGGCAGACTTGCTGTCCTTCATCTGGGCAACATTCTGTGTAGTGGGCACCAGACCCTCCAGGGATACAGGCCCAGAGAGTTTCTGTAGCCAGCTTGGCCTCCCAGCCCTCATGCATCTATAAGATGCTTGAGTGTCCTCCGTGCCGTCACACTGCCCTTGCCCTCACCCACAGCCCTCTAGGCCTTACCTGGCCTTGGGTTTGCAGTGCCTCGAGGCCCTCACTCCGGAGCTGCTCCAGGGCCACAGCCAGCTGCAGCCCCTCCATGTGCACCCAGGCCTGCTCCTCCTGCAGCTGCTGCAGCCACAGCTGCTCCTCCTGCAGCTGCTGCAGCCACAGCTGCTCCTCCTGCCAGAGCTGCATCTGCAGCTGGACCTGCCGCCTCCGGTCCTCCAGCAGCAGTTGCTCCTGGGCTAGGCACAGCTGGACTTCGTGGAGTCTCAGCAGCTCAGGGCCCAGGGCTGGCATGGGGGCGCCGGCTCCACAGCCCTCCATGTGCTCAGGGGCCAGCACCGGCTCGGATTCCACAGTGATGGCCTGAACTGGCCTCCAGGCTGCCTGTAGCTGCTCTGGCCTGGGGGCCCTCGAGTGTCCCTGAGGAGCCGGCTGAGTGCTGATCACGTGACCTGTCACGGCCACCCCCACCTGGTCCTGAGGGCCCCCTGTGTTGGGGGGCGGGGGCTCAGCCTCAGGGCGCTGCTGCCCAGCTGCCCGCTGGGCCCTGCCCACCCTCTTGCCTCGGGGCTTTCGAGCTCGACCTCGTTTCCCAGACATGGCCCCGGATCCAGTGCTCCTTCACCAGATGTCTGCTCCCCAGGGGCCTGGCTCATCCACTGGCCTTGTTGGGGAGCTCAGAGGACATCCCAGAGGCCACAGTAGGCTGCTTGCTCTCAGCCAGGCTCAGCCCTCTGCGCTCCCTCTCTCCCTGGCTCTGCCTGTAGGCCCCACAGGCCCCACTCTGTGGCACTGGGCCACACCAGGGAGTTTATAGGGACTCTGGCGGCACAGTGGCTCACCCTAACCGAGAAGGCTGACTAACGTGCTGACAGGGTGCGGGACTTTACAGACCACAGACTTCACTGGCCAGACTGGGAGGGGGACTGAGAAACTGGGGGCGGCTCTCAGTAGCTAGACTGTTGCTTGAGTACATGCCTGGTCCTGCCTGGACGTCACCAAGGCCCCCCACCCTTCACTCCACCCTCGGTCGCGGGAAACTCAAACTGTCCACAGAGCTAAGGGCTGCATCTCAAATGCACCAGCCCTGAATGCCCAGACCCTCACCGACCATAGGCCATCTCAATCCAACTGGCCACCGGAGCTCCAAGTCTATGCAGATGGAGCCTGCAGGGCTTGAACTTGCCTGGAGAACTTGCTAGAGATGGAAGGCCACCGTAGCCCAGTGTGAAGCACCCTGTGGACTGGTAAAGACACTGAGCCTTCAAAAGCCTAGAAAGAAGAGTCTAGCTTGTCTCCTAACATGGGCGTGGGGCCCGCCTACTGTCATGATTGGGAGCCCAGCTCCCCCTCTGAATTAAAGCAAGGCCCACCTGTTAGTCCCAGGGGTGCAGCTGGGGGTCCAGGACCAACTCTCATCTGAGCCTTCCTTCCCAGGCCTCCTGTTTCGAGGCGCCGCTCCAGGTGGCATCCTCCCCAGTGGTGCCCCAGCCCCCGCCCGCTGACTCACGCCCACGCCCAGGGTCTCATCCCTGCCAGCTCTGCCTCACTGGTCAGACTGGTTTGACTGGTCCAGCCCTGCCCAGCACACACCCCCATCCATCCTGCCCCTGCCCAGGAACCTTAAGAGCAGACAGAGAGCGCCAGCCTGGAGCAGAGCCGGGCAGAGCAGAGCTTTGCTGAGGGGTGTGGAGAAGGGCAGAGGCATTGTGTGGGTGGGAGACAGCGGTCGGGACAGTGAGGGGCACACTTTTTAGGGACTTCCACATACCCAGCCCTGGGGTCAATTGCAGGTACAGGGCTAGGTGTGTCTGGTGGTTCTTAATATACCAGGATTAAGATGTATTTGCTCTTGGAAGACGCTGCTCATTAAAGTTGTGGCATGTGCTGGCCTCATGAGGCCTTCCCTAAGAGCCCAGGAAGAAGCCATAAATGCCACCTGAAGTTGATTGGGTGAGGGACAACTCACATCCTAACATTTCTGCTACCTTCCTTCAGGGAAGCCGGGAGAGAATCGCCAGCTGCAGACGAAGACAGGTCAGCCGGCCAGAGGGGCCTACTCTGAGAACCCCAAGGTCCCTGCAGGTGAGATCCCGGGTGTCCTACGTCTGCTGAGGGGTGGGCTGGCAGTAAGGGACTTCCCTGGGCCCAGACATGCATAGCATGCACAAGTGTGTGTGTCTACATATGCACATGTGTATGCATGAATGTGCAGGGGCATGTATGCATTCGTGTACGCATATGTGTGTGCATATAGTCTGTGCAGGAGGCAGAAGCACACAGAAGCCCCCTTTCCAGACCTCGCTAGCCCATGGCTCAGGACTGCCTCCCAAAGGAGCATGAGTCTCCTGCGATGAGCTGGTCGCCCCCTGGTGGCAGTAAAATGACCCAGTCATGGGCGGCACTTGGGGAGTCCCACCTGAGTCTGGAGTCCTGTGCCTGGGCTCCAGTACCTATGGGCAGGGCCAGATCTGTCCAGCCTGCTTGCCTCCTGGCTTTGGCCTCAGCTCTGCAGGGTATCCCCAAAGTTCGCAATCTAACAGGTTAAGATCTCACCGCCAATGCCTCCACCCCACTTCAGGTGCCTCTGACTCCCCTTCGGGTGTCTTGAAGGCAGCACATCCAGCCTAAGTGTCTCTAAACTCACTCCAGTGTCCCTCCGTCCACGATGCTCCCAGTGACTGATGCCTGGACCCATCCCAGCCAGCCCCATTGTTCAGCACTTTCCCTGCCCAGTTTCTAGGTCTCGCGGAGCCTCAGGTGCCTGCTTCCGTCTGGCCACCGCCTCTCCTTGCCGTTGCCTCTACCTCCCAGATTCTCAGAGCAGCCACAGGGTGTGCAGCACTGGGAGGTGCTGCACCGTGCTTCCTGTGAAAACCTGTTACTTGTCCGCCTCTTCCATTCCCGTCCTCTGGTCCTGGATAAAGGACGAGCCTTGTCCTGAGGACAGAATGCACGGGACGTCTGTAGGTTGTTGTAGCATAGTCTCACATGCCTGATACATTGGCATGGTTCTGTATGCCTCAAGGTCAAACAGTCCTGCGACTGGAGCAGAGACAGATGTGTGGGGACACAATGCCCAGAAGACACAGACCACACAGGAGGACTCGGCGTCCACACCGAGTGCAGTTTCTTGTGTTGCAGCACCACTCAAGTGTTGCCTCTTGCTGTTGCATGTCCTGGGGAGACCTGCAGTGACTGGGCAGGCCAGACGCAGGAGCATTGCTGCTGGGTGCCAGGAGTACGCATGGGGCTTTCTAGAGAGATCTTTCGGTTTGGCCAGGGACTCTGTGTCCATGTTCCAAAGAGGTGCTGATTTGGCTATTCTCGTGGCTTCTTTGCCTGTGTTAGCATTAGGGGACTCTGGCCTCATAATTTCTTCTTCGGATTTACTTATTTCACATATTTTTCGTGCATCGTGTGCATGCAGGTGGCCGCCGAGGCCAGTCCCCTGGAGCTGACACTGCAGTAGTTTGAAGGCACCTGAAGTGGTTCTAAGATCACAGCTCTGGGTCCTCTGGAAGAGCAGTGATAGCTCTTACCTGTGGCCCCTTACCTTTTGAGAGTTTATTTTTGTTATTTAAAATTATGCGAATGTGGGGGTGGTATGAGCATGGAAGTGTGGTGCCCAGAGAGGCCGGAAGTAGCAATGAACTCACCCAAACCCAAGTCCTCTGGAAGACCAGCAGCTGCCCTTAACTACTGAATTACCTCTCTGGACCCTTCTGGGAGAGGGAATCATCCTGACTTACACCCATTCCCTTATAGTAATTTTTATTTTTGTAGAATCAGAAGTATGATCCCCTTTCATTTTTCCTATTTAAAAGGCTTGTTTTTATTTTCAGTTATGTGAATGAACCTCCTTGTTTATGTGTGTGCATGTACATTGTACATGAAGGTTCCTGCGGAGGCCAGGAGAGAGTGATGGGCCCCCAGGAGCTGAAATTACAGGCAGTTGTGAGACCTGATGTGGGCTCTGGGAACCGAACCCAGGTCTTCGGCAAGCAGCAAGTGCTCTTTAACTGTCCAGCCATCTCTCCAGCCACACCCCCACCTTCATCTCTGATCGTACTATTTGCGTCTTTTCGTTTCCTTTGTCTATGTAGTTAAAGGTTTATTAATTTGCTTTTTGTTTTTTTGAGACAGGCTCTTACTATATAGCACCGGCTAACCTAACCTGGACCTCAGGCTGGCCTTGAACTCTCTCATCTGCTGCCTCTGCTTCCCAAGTACTGGGGTTAAAGGCATGCACCGCCACACACAACCTGCTGATAGTTTCAAAATACCAACTTTGATCTCGCTGATTTTTGTTTTTCCCATTTTGTTTCTATCTAATCTTGATTTTCTTTGCTATCTTTGAGTTTAGTTTAGTTTTCCTTTTCTTGTTAGGGTGGGCTGCTGGTTTGAGGTCTATCTTGTTTAATAATGTGATATTAAATGTCTAATTCCCTTTGGCACTGCTGCACCTGGTAGCTTTTGGTGTGTTGTGTTTTCACCTATTGCTAAACATTTTCATTGTGGTTTTGTCTCTGATACCTTGTTTAAGAAGGCATAGCTTGCTGGGCAGTGTGGTGTGGTGCACACCTTTAATTCCAGCACTCAGGAGGCAGAGACAGGCGGAGCTCTGAGTTTGGGGCTAGCCTGGTCTACAGCGTGAGTTCCAGGACAGCCAGGGCTACAGAGAGAAATCCTCTATTGAAAAACCAAAACGAAGAAAAGAGAAAACAAAAAGGCACTGTTACCCTCGCGTCCTGCGCATTTTCCAACTGTATTCTATTCTGTCCTTGGCCTCTACTTGACCACACTGCGTCAGGACAGGTGCCTCTGAGGACAAGTGGCGCTCAGTGGCAGAGCGCATGTTCTTAAGTCACTGAGATTCCTTCTGTGGCCTGCCACATGTTCCCTGATAGTGTCCCCATGCACTCAGGCATCGTGTGTATGTGGGGGTGGGTCGCACCGCTTTGGGTCCCACGCTGTCTTGTGTTAAGAACTCTGTGTCTCATCTCACTTCCAGTTACTGTTGTAGAGTTGTTTCTCCCTTGACTCTGATGTTTTTTCTGAACATTAATGGTTCATCATTACATGCATGCATACTTAGAACTGGCATGTATTAAATCTTTTGATTATATAGTGTTCTTTTTGTCCTATTTTAAGCCTTTTTATCTTTTTACTGGCATATATTATTTATAGATAATTATATAGTGATTGTACATTTTGGCATTTTCATATAGATATATAATGTATTTTGATCATATCCACCCTTTTTTATTTTTCTTTTTTTGGTTTTTCAAGACAAGGTTTCTCTGTGTAGCTTTGGAGGCTGTCCTGGAACTCACTCTGTAGACCAGGCTGGCCTCGAACTCACAGAGATCCTCCTGTCTCTGCCTCCCGAGTGCTGGGATTAAAGGTGTGTGCTACCAACGCCAGGCTCATATCCACCCTTATTACTCTCTCTTGTCCCCCTCTCCCCTCCACTAATCCCCATCTTCTTTCCAATCAGTCCCCCTTCTACTTTCCTATTATGTGTGTACATGAGTGTGTGCGTGTGCGTGTGCATGCGTGTGTTAGAGAGAGAAAGATAAAGAGGTCATTTCACTAGGGCTGCGTATAGGAATGTGAGTGAGGGACTATTTACAGGAGCACAGGTACCTTACCAGTGGCTACACCAGTAAATAAAACGTCTCTCCTTTCCCAGCAACCATGAACCGACCATAGGTCTCATAGGGGCATCGTAAGTCCCCTCCCTACACTGCATGGACCAAGTCTTGAGCAGGTCTTGTGTGGTAATCACTGCTTTGAGTTAAGGTTATAGTATCCTAGCCTGGCGTTGGTGGTGCACAGCTTTAATCTAGCACTCAGGAGGCAGAGGCCAGTAGATCTCTGAGTTCAAGGCCAGTCTGGTCTACAGAGTGAGTGCCAGGACAGCCAGAGCTACATGGAGAAACCCTGCCTTGAAAAACCAAAAAGAAAGGAAGGAAGATTATATCGATGTCTGCCTGGAAGACAGTGTCATACAGCAGTCTACCCCTTTTTACTGATGAGTTATTTCTTCCATCTCTTCTGCAGTGTCCCCAAGTCTTGCAGAGGATGCGACAGATGTCCTGCTTATGGCTGAGCATTCATTCACTCAGCACTTTGACCAATTATGAGTCTCTGTAGTTACTGCTGCCCACTGCAAAACAACAACAAAAACCTTTCTGACTGAAGCTGACAGCAGCCCTCATCTATGCGTAAACACAATTACTTAGTCACATCACACCTATTTACCAAAACAACAGCAGTATCTTCCCCACTAGGGTCCATGACCTCACCAGCCGTGGTGTTTGGCCAGGTTTACAACACCCGATGTGAGCTCCTTCCTGTGGAGCAGGCCTCAAATCCAGCCAGAAAGCAGTTGGTTGCCCCACGACAGACTTGCCGCTGTTGCACCAATGGGCACCCCTTGCCTGGACAGTCGGCCGTGCCATAGTCAGTGCCCACAGCCGTGTTAGCCTATTGCTGGCAATCCTCCCCAGCAGCCTGCACAGCACCTCCCGGCACTAAGAGGGCAAGCCAGCGGGGGTGGGGGTGGGGGGCTTGCAGCCCTGTTCAGCTTGATTTACCTGTGTCCTTAGAGAAAATATGGTGTTTGTGGCAATAGGTTCTTACCGTCTATTTCTGGTGGATAGCCCACTGTGTGGCATTTGCATATACTGTTGTGGGGGCCTCAGGGATCTCCCTAACCTACAAGTCATTCGGTGGTGGCCCACTCCTGGCACCAAAATTTTCATTTAACAATCTATAACTCCTGGAAGCATCTTTAACCACTTGGGAGGTCTCTATTCAGACTCTTTAAAAATAGGAAATGATATTTTAAAACTACATTACCAAGTATTGGTTTCCTTGTTGGCTTTTTCTCTTTCTTGCTTTCTTTTCTTCCTTTTATTAAGAGTAGGTTACCCTGTTCTTTTCTATTTAAATTTGTTTTTTCACTTTACATACCAACCCCGTTCCCCTCCCTCCCCTTGTCCCTCCCCCCCCCTCACTCCCAGAGCTGGTAAGGCCTTCCTTGGGGAGTCAACACAGTCTGGCACACCAAGTAGAGG